TTACACAAGGTAATGAGAAGCTGGATTTGGTCATTTGACAAGCTGGTGCCTTTGGGTTTAAGAGATGACCTAGCAACAGCTGTTGGCTCAAGTTTTAGTTTGCCACTGACTGGAGAAAGAACTTCAACTTGCAGAAAACCTGCAACCAAAAACAGGTATCCCTCTCAACCAGAGAGAGACTTGGATAGGGTTGTCCCAGATTTGCACACTCTTACGTGAGCAAATGCTCCCTGTCAGCATCTCTGAACGGCCTGGCTTTGGTGGTAAGATCTTACCCGATTCTCTTCTCTTGGATCCCAATTGTGATGAAACCAGATGGATCACAAAAATGATTGGTGTACAGATTATCACAAAAATCAACACTAACAAAGGCAGATTCAAATTGAATGCCACAACTGGAGGATTGTGTTGAGAGGGTTGGACAAACAGGTTTTGTGTAAAAAATATCTTGTTCAAGGATAATTGGCAAGTTCCACTGACTGATACAGCTAAAGAAATAATCAGCTTCTGTCACCAGGGACAGACCTTTTCAATATAAGGTCATACATTTGAGAATAAAAGCATACATGAACAGCTTTTAAATGATTAGAAACCTCATTGAAGAATGATGCAACTGATGTATGTAATGCTGCTTTGGTTGCGTTCATCTGAACGTGAGAGGAATATTTACAACAAGACAAGTGGGTGGCTCTAGTGCAGGGGCAAGGTTTCACTTTTTTTTGACCATCGGTATCTCTTCATTGTTTAAAAAAAAGACTTGTACAAGACAGATGGGATCCTCCTGAATTGGAAGGGCACCAATATCTTTGCAGAGAGATTTGCTACTGCTATTCAGGTGACTTTCAACTAATAAGAGGTGAGGGTGGGGGTGTGGGAAGCCAGACTGAGGAGAGAGAAAAGGCTGAGGCTGGTACAGTAGATAAGAGGGAGCAAATCAAATAGTCAAGGCAATCAAGGGCTTGGCAGAGAACAAGACAAGACTGAAAAATTAAATCACATTTATTTCAGTGCAAGAGGCCTGACAGGTGAGCTTAGGACATGGTTGAAAACAGAAGACTAGGATATCATAGCTAGTACAGAAATGTGGCTTAGGGATGGACAGTAGTGGTAGTTCAAGTGTTCCAGTGTATAAATGTTATAGGAAGGATAGAAAGGGAGGCAAGAGAGGAGGAGAAGTGGCATTTTTGGTTAGGGATACCATTATGGCTGTATTTAGAAAAGGATATTCCTGGGAGATCAGTGAAGTCATATGGGTGGAGTTGAGAAATAAGAAAGATGATCACCTTGTTGGGATTGTACTATAGGCACCCCAGTAGCCAGCAGGACATTGAAAAGCAAATATATACGGGGATTTCAGATATCTGTATGAATAATAGGGTTGTAATGGTAGAGGATTTTAACTTTCCAAAAATAGACTGGAACTGTCATAGTAGTCAAGGTTTGAATGGGGGGGAATTAGTTAAGTGCATACAAGAAAATTTCCAATAAGCAGCTGCACCGACTAGAGAAGGAGCAATGCTTGACCTTCTCTTGGGACATAAGGCAAGAGGACGGGGGTGTCAATGGGGGAGCAGTTGGGGGCAAGTTATCACAATTCTATTAGTTTTAAAATAGGTGACGGAAAAGATTAGAACTGATCAAAAAGTTGAAATTTAAATCGGAGCAAGGCTAATTTTGACAGTATTAGACAGGAACTTTCAAAAAAAGTTGATCGGGGGAGGATATTTGCAATTAAAGGGAAGTGGGAGGCCTTTAAAAAAGTGAGTAAACTAGAGTTCAGAGACAATGTGTTCTTTTTGGTGCGAAGACAAGGCTGGCAGGGGTAGGGAATGCTGGACGATTAGAAAAATTGAGGCTCAGGTCAAGAAAAAAAAAAGCATGCGTCAGATATAGACAGCTGAGATTGAGTGAATTCCAGGAGGTCAGAGGGAAGACAGGGGGGTAAAAAGGAGACATGAGATAGCCTTGAAAATAAAAGTTAAGGAGAATCCAAAAGAGATTCTGTAAGTACATTAAGGGGCATAAAGAGTAACTAGGGAGAGAATAGGGCCCTGTACACATCAACATGACTGTGTTGAACCACAGGAGATGGGCAAGATGCTAAATGAATATTTTGCGTCAGCATTTACTGAGAAGGAGATGGGTCACAGTATAAGGTTGAGGCAGACCATTTAGGACCGAGAAGAAGAAATTTCTTCACCCAGATAGTGGTGAGCCCATGAAATTTTCTGCCACAAAGATAGTTGAGGAAAAAAACATTAAAATGTTCAGAAGAAGAAGAAAAAAAGATTTGATACAGTTCTTAGGGCTAAAAGAATTTTAAAAAAGGAAATGGGGAGAAAGCAGGAGGGTACCAAGTTGATGACCAGTTATGACCACATTGAATGCAAGACCAGTCTCCACTGAATGGTCTACTTCTGCTCCTTTTTGTTTTTTTGAAATGTTTCCCATATTAGTCAAGTAATATTTTATTCAAATCTCGTAGTGAAGAATTCTTGCTTTAGATGAAGTAACAGTTGCATTTTGAAGTTATGACAATTTACAGTTTTAAATTTTTAATTCATTACTGACGTGAAATTGTATGGCTTTTGCTTTATTCTATTTTAGTCAGACTATTGCAGTCAGTTACATAGTACCCAGTCTGGGAAATTGGAGAAACAGCTATTGCTTGATAAGTTACCAGATCTCAACATTGCTATAGGCTTCTGTGTTTTATACCCCTTCTCTCATTCTTTGCCTGAGGAAGAAGCAGAGCTTCAAAAGCTTGCGTTTTCAAATAAACCTGTTGGACTATAACCTGGCAGTGTGATTTTTGACCATGCTACAGACTTCAGTATTTATCCCAAGAGCATTTTAAATGTTGCTGCACTTGTGATTGCTAAAAACATCACTAGAGGTCACAAGGAACCATTCTCTCCCCAAATCATCAGGAACATAGGATAACGTCCTCCGCTTCATCTTGATCAGTATCTGTGGCCAAGGACCAACATTCAGAGTGACCTCAGAGAGGCTGTTGAATGCATCATTCACTGATCAACTGAAATAGACGTTCTGAAATGTATTTGTCCTTCTGCAGTTTAAAACTCAGCTGGAACAACTTTTTCAGGCGGAATAGCTATAACCTATGTTTTAACATGAGCTGAAAGGCAAGGAATTCAGTACAAGCAGCAGAGTCACAATAGATTAGTTGAGATAACAAGGTGTAGAGCTGGATGAACACAGCAGGCCAAGCAGCATTGTAGGAGCAGGAAAGCTGATGTTTCGGGCCTAGACCCTTCGATATAGTTATAGATTAGTTATTCACTTATCAAACCAAACATCACACTCCAAAAGCATTTAGTTGACTTTGCTAACTCAGTATGAACTAAACTTAAGATTTCTTGATGGGAAAACAAAGTCTCAAGAGATCATCAGCCTGAAGTATTTACTCTGGTGTCCCCTGCAGAGATTCTGTTTAAGTATTTCAAACATTTTATTTTCAATTTAGTTCAGAGCTTTCCTAGTCTGAAGTACCAAGACAAACCCCACCCTTTTTAATCTACCCTACCGTTGTAGGCAATAATTCAAAAACCATTTCAAATACATTGATTTCTTAAAAAATAAAATCCTGTTAATCACATTTCATAGTATATTTCCTACATTTTTGTAGGGTAAATTGAAAGTGTCAGTTCTCGGCCTTCCCATGTACTCACTCCTTATGAATTTAATTTTAATTTACTAGCTAGTAGTTGCCCTGTAAAGTGTGGGGGAATAGGTTGGAGACCAGTTGGAATCATTGTTGCACGAATGCTAGTTAACGATTAAAACTTAACCAGTAAATCATCAGAATTGAAAATTCAGGAAATACCTTAAATTTACATGATTAATACTCCTGAAATAGTACTGGGCATGGGAGGAGTTAGACATTTTCCTTCAGATTTTTGCAGGTGGTGAACACATAAGGCTCAAACAGCCACTGTCCAAAGATGTAAAAGAATCAATAACAAACATTAAGCCGAGAGTGTTTGTGTCACTGAATATCTCAGGATTCATCAATTTGTATGCAGGATTCTGTTTTGTTGCAAGCAATTAATACAGTCTACAATCTCCTAAACTGTGGGTTGCTTTTGTAAATCCATCTAATTCACAGATTGCAAAGTAATTTTATAGTTTCAAATTGGAAGGGGAAGGTGGGGAGAATGTCTTTGCTTCTAAGATTTTCTTTTCCAAAAATTTAAAAAAATTAGAAACTGCTTGGAACCATAAAATTTGCACCTAATCCCCATACCCTCACTGCAGTAGTTTTATTTGCAAGCACTATTCTAATGCAGCTATGCTGTAGAGGTGTAGTAGTCTGTCAACTAGTTTGATTGGGAATTTGGGAGAAGCAAAATACTTCCATGTTTAAGCATGGTGCCGAAGAAATGACACACATGAATCAGTCTGGTAAGCAAATGAAGTGAGAACATTCATCAATAGTTGACCTAAATTTTTATGATGAAATCTTCAAGAGCTCTTTTTAAAAAAAAAAAACTTAATATTCACCAAGTCTCAGGCAATTTTAAACATGTAATTATTTGATTCAGTATTCTGAAGTAGAAGCAACTTATGGGGAAATGTTAACACATAATACACAGTCAGCTTCCTCCTTGTAGCTTTCCTCTTTCACATTAGCTTTTTCTATAAAAGTTTACTTTACTCACAATCAGGAGTCATAAATCCTTCCCCAATTCATTCAATTAATCCCCACTAACCTTCTTACAATAGAAGGCACCAAACAATACTTATCACAAATCATGAAACTTGCAGAAAAGATTATAGTGACTAGATTTTTAAAAATGCTCAAAAGTAAAAGCTTTTCAGTTAAGGTTATTCTAACTAGCCTACTCAGTCATGTTATGAAACACCTACAGGTCAGTGGAGAACTTGAGCCCAGACACCCTGGCCAAGAAGTAAGGACTATAACACAACACCACAAGGACCCTTAGCTCTTCAGTTACCCAAGACAAACATAACCTTACCTTAAAAAAAAGCCAAGTATTACCAAACTCTCTCTTTTAAAAAAAATCAGTTTATTATCAACAGCTAGCAAATCTGCTCTATTTTAAAACATCTTGTTTCCATATCTAGTTCAGCTGCATGTAGGTTTCCTCATTTAAAAGTATTGATGAGCAAAGGTCAAAGCAATTTAACTTATTTGTGTCTTCTATAATGTCCCTGATTCTCATTGTGAAATCTCAACTGAAATGCATTAAATCAGGCAAATCATCAAAAGCTAATCCTTTATAAGACTGAATGGAAGGTTTCTAGCAACTCAATCCTTTCTCTTGTTAAAAAAAAGTAATTATTCAATTAATCAATTCCACACCCCCACCCCCCAAATCTTCTCCAATTGTTTTGTCTGAGTTACCTAAAGTCATATTTTTGCCACGATGCTATTTGTTTACTTTTATCTCTAATTCCAGTGGGACCTATTTTAGGTTATAGCTAAATGATAGCATTTGTCAGGATGCCTGAACTGACCTCCAGGTGTATGACCCTTCTACATTAATGTCATCTGTCATGGCTTGTCATGTGTTTTCAATGAGGTCAGGGACTTTGGATTAATGCAGCTTGTTTAGCCCCGTTTTTAATTTGTGTGACTAAATTTAAAGTTGCCCAGCAATCATGCTTTTGTTTATACAACTTAAAGCTATTATTGAATGTTCCTCATGAATGAAACAAGTTATTAACAAATTGATTGCAGATGTCAAGATTGAAACAAAAGGAATGTAAGACAATGTCTAAAAAAATAGAACCAGTGAAGAACAAGGAACCTTATCTTCCTCCTAAAATCTGAACTTCTGAATCCACCTGTACAAGAAAAAAGGGGACAGTGTGTAGTGGCAATGTTATTGATCCAGGCAGTAAGAGGCCTAGAGTATTGCTTCGGGGAACATAGGTTCAAATAGAACTGGTGAAATTTAAATTCAATCCATAACATCTGGAATTGAAAGCTCATCTCAATAACGGTGACCATAAGACAAACAGTGTCTGTAAGAATGTCCTAATAAGTTTCTGTGCAATACTGTTGTGGTTCTTTCTTGCAGAGGTAGAAAGGGTAGCACTTGACGTCAGATGCAGTAGCTATGAATACCTCTGTCGCGCAACAATTTGTGCTTTAAAAAAAATTCTTCTTTCAAGTGTGTGGGTTTTGGGGACAAGATCAGTGTTTATATTTTGTTCATCCATAATTGCCTTTGAGCTGAATGGTTTGCTTGGCTATTTCAGAGGTCAGTTAAGAGTTAAGATTGCCATAGGTCTGGAATCATATGTAGGCCAGAACAGGTAGAGTCAGCAGATTTTCATCCCTGAAGGGAACTAATTAACCAGATGGGTTTTTACTCCGTTCAATGATATTTTTATGGTCACTGTTATTGAGATTTGCTTTCAATTCCAGATGTTTATGGATTGAATTTAAGTTTCACCAGTTCTACTTGAACCCATGTTCCCCGAAGCGATACTCTAGGCCTCTTACTGCCTGGATCAATGACATTGCCACTAATCACTGTCCCCCTTTTTTTTTGTACAAATGGATTCAGAAGTTCAGATTTTGGGAGGAAGATAAGGTTCCTTGTTCTTCACTCGTTCTATATTTTTTTTTTTACATTCTCTTACTTTCCCTCAACAGAACAACAACATTTAGTTTCTGTATATAGTTCTCTCTGTCCTCGCTTTGTCAAAACTGCTCTGAGGATGTCTACTCACAGCTTTCTCATGAGTGCAAGTTTTGCAACTTGTCTGCGCTCAGCAAGTTGTTTTAATGCAGTTCAAAGTTCAAAATAGTGGTTTGTTAGCTTTGAGGAATCATTCGTTCTAAAAAGCAAAGGCGATAATTACATTGATTTGAGTGAGTCCCTTTGACATTCTATGTCCCTTCTGCTTTCTATCCAAAACTTAAATTCTCACACTTTGATCAGCAGTTTACTGTTCCATGAATGGCAATTTGTTTCATGGGCCTAGGTCTATCCACACTCCTTCATTAATTTACCTTACCCTCAATCAATTGTACTTCAGCACACATAGTTCTTTATTTTTACTGATCAATGTTTTTGTCCTATGTCCCTTGCTTCATTTTCTTTTGCTAGATGCCATCAGAAACAGAACTGAATGTGGGTCAACTCACCCTTATTGTACTGACCTATCTGATTTTACTTTCCTTTTGGACCTAATTAGGTTAGGCCAAAATTAGCATCGTCAGCTGTTGTTCGATGGGATCAGTCCTGTCTCCTGACCTTTTGAGATCAAATCACAAAGGAGAGACTGGAACCTATGAATATTGACACTTGAGCGCAGACACTTATTCATTCATGCAACCTTGAGTACTTGCTGGTATTGTCTAGCTTCTTCTCTGGCTCTTGTCAAGTCTCCCTCAGATCACCTCTCAATGTTACCCATCCAATGTTTCTTTTATCCTTTTCTGCATTGATGATCAATGTTTTCTTCAATAGTAACCAGGACTAAACTATCAGGTCATTCTTTCCATATAAACGTATGCCAGTCATATGGGAATCGGTTGACGACTCTGGGTCTGTACTCCAATGGAGTTTAGAAGGATGAGGGGGGGGGCATCTGATTGAAATGTACAGAATACTGAGAGGCCTGGATAGAATGAACCTGGAAAAGATGTTTCCACTGGTCGGAGAGACTAGGACCTGAGGGTACAGTCTCAGTGAAGGGATGACCCTTTAGAACTGAGATGAGGATGAATTTCTTCAGCCATAGGGTGGTGAATGTGTGGAACCCCTTGCCACAAAAGGCTCTGGAGGCCAAGTGATTGAGTGTTCTTAAGATGGAGATAGGTTCTTGAGTTAGTAAGCAGATGAAGGGTTACGGGGAGAAGGCAGGAGAATAGGGTTGAAAAACATATCAGCCATGATCAAATGGCAGAGTAAACTTGATGGGCCAAATAGTCTAATTCCGTTCCTGTATCTTATGCTCTTATGGTCAATGTTCATATTTGACTATCTTTTGCTCTCTCTCTCCCACGCTCTTTCTGTCTCTCTCCAACGACACTTAGCTACCTTTTTGATATTTGAAATTCTGTCCTTCAGATAACCCATTCATTATGGGCCTTCTTGTGGTCCAATGGTAGAGTCCCTACCCCTAGGGGAGGCAATGGCCTTGTGGTATTATTGCTGGACTGTTAATCCAGAGAACAGACAACATTCCAGGCACTCGGTTCGAATCCGGGCACGGCAGATGGTGGAATTTGAATTCAATAAAATATCTGGAATTGAGAATCTAATGATGACTGTAAAACCATTGTCAATTTTCTGAAAAACCCATCTGGTTCACTAATGTCCTTTAGGGAAGGAAACTGCCATCCTTACCTGTTCTGACCTACATGTGACTCCAGACTCACAACAACTGTCGTCTAGGCAATTAGGGATGGGCAATAAATGCTGCCTAGCCAGCGATGCCCTCATTCCATGAATGAATAAAGAAAACAAAACTGGGAGGTGTGGGTTCAAGTCCTACCTGCTCTAGAGGTGTGTAGTAACATCCCTGAACAGGTCGCTAAGAAAAATAGATTAAATAAAAAATTATAACCTACTCATTTGTCCTTCCGTCCATGGCGCTGATTCTGTGCATCCTTGGCTCATTTTTAAAAGCTGTAATTGTGGGCATTAATAGCCCACATACGGGTCTCAATTGGCAACAGGCAGAAAGGCAGTTGACTAGTCTTCCCACCCGGACTTAATTGGGGTTTAGTTTGGAAGGTTGTGGTGTCCTGGTCTCCAGCTCCCCATCCCATCAGACACATCATCTGGAAAGACAGAAGATGTAGTGAAGCTCCCAACTGATCTACCAGCTGGATATAAATAATGGCAAGGAAATTGCCATTTTGAAGGAGATTAAGGGTAATTTCCCTGTTGCCTTGACTGATATTTATTCCTTTTCTAACATCATTTTAAAAATAGCAGTTTCTCTCATTTACCTCATTGCTGTTTGTATAAGTTCCTTTTGGACAACTTTGCTGCTGTGCTTCCCTGCAATGACAACAATGATTTTACTTCAAAAAGAAATTATTTCAAAAATTACTTCAAAAAGAAACTATAAAGTGCACTGCAATGTCCTGAGTTTATGAATGTGCCATATATTTGTAGGGATAAGCTAATGCTTTATATTCCTTGTTAAACATGTTCAGAACTTTGTTTTAACCAGCCACACTGATATTGTCTCTGTGCTGCTCACTGTTCAGCTGTTTCTACTGTCTGTGTTCAGTCTGTCAAAGCTCCCACATCCCCACCTGCAAATATCAATTTGCTTGTACTGTGTTGCTTTAGCAGTTCAGAGGGTAGTTCCCCTGAAAAGATCAAAACGTTCTTTTGTTCTGAAGTTCAAAGCAAGCTGTTTCCATCATCATTCAGTGGGAAATGGTTAAGTCTGTTTAGAACCTCCACAGGCTGGTTTATTTTATGTGCTCATGAAATCCATTACAAAAAGTTTATTCAGATATTATCACGTTTCATCTGACGTCAAATGAGTCAAGCAGGAGCCTCTAACAGAAAGAGCTTGTCAAAGTTGGAGATTTTCTCAATGACAGAAACTGTACATTATTCATCTATTATTAAGGATTCTGTTTATTAATATTGACAAGTCATTTCCATGCTTTGGGGAGAATCATTATAAAAGATGAATAAATCTTCACAAACTTTATTGTTATTGCGTCTGTGTACACAGTTTGTTGGTTTGTGACCATTTTCATTCTGCTTCAATTTTCCATGTGAGTTTTAGTAATTATTATAGTTTCATTGATCTGAAGATCCCTTGTCTGTTTGACATTTCAACAGTTTACTGAATGACATTGGAAAATAATTCCTTGTAGTTGTACTGCTGCATTATATTGATGACATTTTGATATACAGACCAACGGAAACTGCGTTGGCAGAAGCTCCAGCAACATTGGTGTAACATATGCGAAACAGAGGCTGGGAAATGAACTCAAAAAAGGTACAGGGACCAGCACAATCAGTGCAGTTTTTATGCATTCAGTGGACAAAAGGGGATACAGTCATCCCTGAAAAAGTAAAGAATAAAATACAAGAAATGGTTGTTCCAATTAGCAAGACTGAGGCA